AGCTATACACATGGACTCTTAAAGAATTATATTGATCCCTTTAATCTTTGGTTATACTTTCCTGTTGGGTGTTTAAGATCATGCAGTTGTCCTGAATAAACCAATTTGTTTTTATTCTTAAGGCTGGTTTGGTTGAGGATCTGTTCCTAAGGGGTCACATGAGCTTAGGAGGAGCCTTTGGCTCCTTAGGCCTTTCTTTTCACCAGTACCATCTATGTGAGGACAAGTCAGAATTTCCTGCTCGATTATGGCTGGCTTCACTTGGAAGTATGGAGGAAACGTTTCCTCTGTGTTGACCCTCCTCCTTGTAGACTGGACACTGGTTCAGGTCCATCCCATGAGGTCTCCATAGCCTCCTTGATCAAGAGGACAGGTGACTCACCACAGTTATAGGACATTTTGAGAGATGTTCATAGTCCCCTGGAACTAGTCGACCTAGGAGAGCAAGGAACAAAAACTGTCCTTTATGTCCCTCTGACCAAATTATTATAGGCCTCAAAGTATGGTTGTTAAACATCCAAGAAGGTTGGTTAGTGGCTTTCTTTATTATTATTATTATTATTATTTGGTCTTTTTGAGACGTCTCCCTGTAGCCCCAGCTGGCCTGGAACTCGTTATATATATTTTTTAATGTTCTGGTTTTCTATATTAAACATCTATTACTTGTTCCAGAAAAATATAAATTTAAATATACACAGCAAAAAGCCAATTTATTCATATAAATAAGAAAATACGATTGCTGCAGATGGATAAATTACAGATCATTGATTTTTGTAAGCATAATTAAGCAATTATTTGGGTTAAATTTCTTTTAAGAATTTTCATTTTGGGGGGGTCAGGGGCGGAAAAAATTTTTTTCATTTTTAGGGGTTGGAGATCTAGCTTGATGGGTAGGAACACTGGCTGCTCTTGTAGAGGACTGGAGGTACAGTCCAGTCTCCCTGTTGGGCAACTCACAACCACCTGAAAGTCCAGCTCCAAGGGACTTGATGACCGCTTCAGGACTCCTCAGTTGCGCACACAGACACATGCACAAGCAAACACTTAAATGAAAAAACATTTTAAGATTTTTATTTTTGTTTCTTTTTTTTTGAGATGGGGTTCCATGTAGCCAGAATGGCCTGGAACTCGCTATGTAGCCCAAACTGATCTTGAACTCCTGTCCTTCAGCCTCCACCTCTCGAATGCTGAGATTACAGGCATGGGCTATCATGTCTGGCTCTTAATTTCTTCTTGAGGAACTGGAGGTTGTGTAGCTTCTGCAGACGGCCCTTCTGTTAGCACCTGTATACTTTGCTTACTTGGCTTTCATTTCTTTTCTCAAATTTCCTAAGTGTGTACTGAATGTGCGTTAGAGAATGCTTAAAATAAAAATGATTGTTATACATTTTTTTGTTTTTTTGAGACAGATAGGTTCTCACTAAGTTGCTCAAGTTGGCCTTGAATGAATTCAGTAGTCCAGGCTGGCTTTGAATTGGTGACCCTCTGCCTCAACTTCTCTAGTAGCTGGGATTACAGGCCTGTGCCATCAGGCCCTGCATTCCTTGGCATTTTACTAACATATTATTTATTTATTATTTATTTATCTCTCTTGACTTTTTTTTGATTTTACAAATTCTGCTTCCTACTCTGTGACACTTCTGATTTTCTTTTTTCTTTTTTCCTTTTTGAGACAGGGTCTCCCTGTAGCCCCAGCTGGCCTGGAACTCTCTATGTAGACCAGGCTGGCCTTGAACTCACAGAGATCCACCTGCCTCTGCCTCCCAAGTGCTTGGATTAAAGGTGTGCACCAGCACACCCAGCCATTTCTGATTTTTTAAAAGCTAAATAGATAATATTGAGGAAGGATGCTTAAACATCATTACTTTTCTGTGATACCACCTATTAGTGGGTTAATCGAATTAAAAACATAAATACACGAACTAGAGAGATGTCTTGGGGCTTGCTGCCAAGTCTGATGACCAGAGTTTGATCCCTGAGACCTACATTGTGCAAGAAGACAAACAATTTACACACATACACACACAAATAATAAATAAATGTAATTTAAAATACATACATGTGTTGGGGTTGGAGAGATGGCTCAGAGGTTAAGAGTACTGGCTGCTCTTGCAGAAGACTCCAGTTCAAATCCAAGCACCCACATGGCAGCTAACAACCATCTGTAACTACAGTTCTAGAGGATCTTCTGGCTTCTATGGGCATTTCACTTATAGGTGCAGTAATATACATGTAGGCAATACACTTTTACACATAAAATTAAAAAAAAAAATATATATATATATATACACACACGTGTGTTAAAGACATATGTGACTTTGGGGTCCAAAAAAAAAAAAAATCAGGCCAGTCATGGTGGTGCACA